CGGGCCTGAGGACCGAGCCCTGGGGTACCACACTGCTCACATCTCGCCAGGTTGAGTACGACCTGTCCACCACTACTCTCTGGGTGCGCCCCATCAGCCAGTTTTTTACCCATCCAACTATGTAGACATCAATGCTAGTCGCTTAATTTACTGATGAGGATGGGGTGAGAGACAGTGTCAAAGGCCTTCTTAAAGCCTAGAAAGACTACATCCACAGCGACACCACCATCCAAGGATTTAGTTACTTGGTCATAACAGGCAATCAGGTTGGTCAGGCAGGACCTGCCTTTGGTGAAGCCATGCTGATTGCCCCTGAGCATGATCTCCCCTGCAGGCCCCCCCACAGATGTGCTCCTTGATGATTCTCTCCAAGATCTTCCCGAGCACCGAGGTGAGGCTTACAGGCCTACAGTTACTTGGGTCCTCCTTTCTCCCTTTCTTGAAAATTGGGACCACTTTAGCTAGTTTCCAATCCCCCGGCAGCTGGCCAGATGACCACAAACGCTCATACACCCAGGCCAAGGGCTCTGCGATGACCCCTGCCAGCTCCCTCAACACCCTTGGGTGGAAGGCATCTGGACCTGCAGATTTAAAAATGTCTAGCCCTTCCAGAAGATCCCCAACTACATCTGTACTGACTGAAGGCCTGACAGAGCTATCCCCAAGATTGTCCCTACTTCTGGTAGGTGGGATATCCCAATCCCTGTTCAAGAAAACAGAGGCAAAGAAACTGTTATTGCGGCATACTAATAGCACATATAGAGGTATTCAGATGGTCAGAATTTATATCATGAAGGCTTTAAGAAATCAAATACAAATACTCTATACCAAACCATAAGACAAACTGGAAGCAAGTCCATATTAGAGAGGACCTCCAGAAATACAGCATTCTAGCAGAGAAGTACCATGATTTGGTATTAAATAACCTGCACTGTGACTTCAAATCTGCTTAAAAATATTTTTCACCAAAAGACACTCTGCAAAGTACCTGAGTTGCCTTGGTAATTTCCATATGGCTTCTGTTTTTGGCTGCCTTTTCCTGCTACAAGCTGATCATAGGATATTGACATCAAGGGCCTCAGGCTGCTAACATAATTGACCTAAAAGAGTAAAAAGGCAAAAAACCCTCAGAGTCTGTTCTAAAATGTTGACTTAATGTTTCAAAAATAGCAATTATTACTGTCTTGGTAGAATGCCAAATTTTCATTAGCAATATTATTTTTAGGCAAGAGTAAATTAACCCACACATCCACACATTAGGCTCACAAGCCCAGAGACATAAGGGGGAAAAAAAACACCCATATATTTTTAGAACACAAAGCTGTTTCAAGACAACGGGATAAGTTCTTTTCCTGGTTTGCCTATGATGTCTAAGCCAATCTGTGGGAAGAGCAAACCAAGTCAGCATACCTATAAAGTTTAGAACAGCTCAGCGGATTGGAAAATGTATGCTCCTCTCCTAGCAAAAAGTGTGGATGCATGCACTATGTTGACCTCCGCACAGCAAATTTGGGAAGCAGAGGAGATATGAGCTTTCTTGCTTTGTCTACTGCAAAACTAGAGAATCTGAAAGGCCAAAAAAAAAATAAAAAAGTTGCTCAAGTTTGCTTACGTATGACCATCTTTAGCATGTCTATCACCTCTCTGAACTATGCAGTTGCTCCAATAAAAGAGCACCAAAAAACAACTTTACTTCTTGTAATATGTTGAGCCTCATTTAACCAAAAAATGATGGAATGAAGAAAAGAGAATATCTCCAAATTCCAAGAGATTAGTTTCTGTGCCCCTTGACACAGCCACATGTCAGATGTAATAGAGTGGCACATATAGGAACACACATCTCCAGCAAAAGAATGGATGTAAGCAAGTTTTAATTTTAGATCATTTGGTATTTCTTATTATAATATTTAACCAAACTTAAGTAGCTGTTGACCATATACCTGCTTGTCAAAATGTGCCAAGTGTCAACAAGATGAAAATAACCAGAACAATCACTTTAGTCAGCAATAATTCATTCTGGTTTTGGCAGTCCCAACTTCCCTCCCAAATCTTAACAGTTTTTTTCTTCATCTCCCATTTTTCTTCCATTCTCAAGACTCTTCATAATGTATTATGAAGCCAAACTGGCCAGGTTACAACAGAAAGGCAAATGCAGGGAGAAAAACAGAAGAGATGGAATGGAAAGGGAAAAAAAAAAAATGACAAGAAAAAAAGGAAAAAAGTCATGCTCATTCTACAAGGCAATTAATTAAAAAACCTTCAAATTATAACTAAATTACAAATGCATGCCTTTTTATTTAAAATTCTGCGTCAGAATTGCTGTGAATGGAAGGTGCGAGTTGAAAAAAAAAAAGCAGTGGAAAGTCCCTCCAACAGAACAATAGAATACAAAACTGGCCATCAAGACAGTATTATATTACTTACAGCTGCTTTCTTTTCACAAAAAGCTTTTAAAGCTTCTGTCAGATTCTGTGTAATACTAACTACTTGAGTTGCTTCCGAGTCGGAGGTGATCCGAAAAGTTTCCTGTCAAAAGTTAAAGAATCATACGCTCAATAAGCTTAAAAAAGTCATCTTAGCTTTTTCTTTACAGAAATGCAAAACAGCTTATGTTAAAACTTTTTACTCTTAAATGCCAGGCTAATGCAATTCTACAGACCAATTTTTGTGCTCAATTTTTTTTTTTTAATCCTACAATCCCCTTCAAAGAAATCTCAAACGTTAGGAAGACTAAAGCAAATTCTTATAAAAATTATTTTTACATCATCACTGGTATATCCTTCCCCTTTAGCACAAGTCGCTTTTTAAAATTATTTTATGTAGAGTATTTACTGAAGTTTTACTAAAGATTAATAGCTTCCTGTTTATGGACCCATGCCATTCATTTAACCCAATAAATGAAGCTATATACTCAGAACAGACCACCATCCACAAAGTGGCCACAAATAAAAGAGAATAAAAGTTTACTATATAAAAGAATTACCCTTAATCTTCTATTGCCTTACATACTTCAGATAGATACACAGATGTTCTGTTGTGAATGGTAGTGGATAGCGTTAAGTTTATACCTTAGCCCAGGAACGGGCAAAATATGGCTGGTGGGCTGGATCCAGGCCGCCAAGGCATTTTGTCCAGCCTGAAGACAGCCCTTGCCCTCACCGTACCTAGGCATGGAGGGCAGCCTGGGTTGTGGCACGTGGCTGGGCATACAGCAGAGCTGGAGTGGCATGTCAGCAGGACTCCATTTCCCAGCAGTCCCTGCAGTAGCAGCTCCTTCTGGACCTGGCCCTGCTGCCCAGGCACCCCAGCCTGTCCACCCCGCATCCACTGCCAGGGGTGCCCAGAGTAGGTGGGCAGCGTCTCCAGAGACCAGCCAGGACCCACCTGGGCAGGATACGTGGCCAGACGGATAAGATGAGGCTGTGGATGGGTGGGGAACAGCATCTGGGAGCAGGATGGGCGGGTGAGGCCAGGAATCAGGATCAGGTTCCGCAGGCAGGGGTGTCTGGGGAGTGGATCATGATTCTGCCCCAGGTCCTGGCCCCATGTTATCACCACCCTGTGATCCTGATCTCTGGCCCCACCGGCATGTCCTTGTTCCTGGACACCACTTCCTGCCTGTGGCCCCATCCCATCCACCTGGCAGCAGGCCCTGCCTGTGTGCAGGGCTGTCATGGGGAGGGTGGGGTGGGAAGGGGGTGGTGAATTGGGGCAACTGCCCTGGGCAGAGCAGTGGTGGAGCTAGGTAGAGCAGCAGCTCCATGTCCAGCCGCTTGCTACCCCTGCCGCCAATGGCAGCAGCAACTTCTTTGGGTCCGGGGCCCCACATGGGCGGATATGCCCCAGGCCCCGCACCCTGCTCGGGTCAGCTCTGCTGCGCGAGTCCCAGCTTGTCTGCATGGAGACCCCAGGACTGCCGGGCAGTGACAGTACAGGGTCAGGGCCCAATGCAGAGACACAATTTGCTCCCTGCAAGCCCCTGCCCACGGAACTGGTGCCCATCACAGGTACATGCAGGGAGCAGATGGCAGCTCTCCCCAGCCCCATGCTGTCACAACCCTACAATCCTGATTGCAGCCCAGCCACCTGCTCCCAGCCTGCCTGTGGTCCCATTCCATCCAACTGGTGGAACACAAGGGCCACTTAGGGAGTTTTGGTGAGCTGCTGTGGGCTGGGGAGGAGTGCTGCTGACCAGGCCTGCAACAGCTCACCAAAACTCCTTCAACTGCCTTCTGTCCAAAATAATTGCACACCGCTGCCTTAACCACAGAAACATTCATTAAACAGAAAAAAAAAATCAAGTCATTCTATGAAATAAATTAAGCCCAGTAGTAAGGAAAAGTCAAGAGCTTTGGTAGTTTTTTGGAACTTGGTGTATAGAAGCCTCATTCCCCTCATTTGTCAGTTTTCAAGCTCCAGAAAAAAAAAAAGAAAAAAAAAAAAAAATCATACTGCAAATTCCAACAAAACACACCAATGTGGATTTGCAAAAGCTGCCAAGTAGAAAATAATGATTAATAAAAACACGCATTGAAATCCAAGTGCCAATCTTACACGTTGGCAAAACTGTAGATAGTTTAGTATTCCCCCACAGAATGTAAAATCTCAGTCCCGCAGGTAATGGAAACATGTGTAGGTCAATAGCTGGCTATTATGACTTGGTTTTATCCATTTTGGCAGCCTCCATAGTGAAAAGGCTTTAGACAGCCTTAGTGAAAGAAGTCTTTAGAACTTCTTGTTTAATATCACAAAATAGTCTTGAAATTTAGCAAGTTTTTTTTTTTTTTTTTTAAATTAATTTACAAATGGTAAGTAAAAACACTTTTGGCCCTTTAAAAATAGCATCACATGGCCTCCCCAAGATGATCATGTTATGAGAAATGGAAGCAAATGGGACCAACTGAAAAACCCAAGCAAAAATATATATAAGGGCCCTCCATACTCCTGTGGGACGTTCCACCAGCTCCAGCATCACAGCAATCACAAGTCATGCCTGGTGCCTCAAGGTATGTAGAAAAAACATTTAAAGCCGTGTCTGTGGCTCAGTCTCTGATTCTCTGAATCAGAATCGAATCTTCAGATTAGGTCGAATTGAATCGGGGACAGTGATCCGAATCAAACTGAATCAGTGTCCCCGATTTGAGCCAAATCCGAATTGAATAGGGTCCGCTTCGCACACCCCTAATAGATATCTAACTGGCACTACTGTGAAGGGCTTAAGATTTAACCGTTTCATCCAGGGTCTTATCTAAAATACTCTGCAAGAAAAACAACTATTTAACTGCTAAAGTTAGAACTCTGCAATAAGAAGCAGAGGTGAAGCTCTATTTAGTTGAACTCTGGCAATCCCAAATGTAAGTTAAGTAATGCGCAACATTACAGGCAATAGGAAAAAGAAACAACTCACACTGTAGCAGCCCTTTGCTCTTCTAACAATGGATCAAATACAATCTGAAGAAGTGCTGATTTGCAAAGTAATAACTGATCAAATTAATTTGTACTCTTTGTAGTGTCCCCCTGCCACATTCATGCATTTTACCTTTTGTTTCTTAACAGTGTAAAGCCTTCCAAATCTTGACAAAGTGCACTCTGTATACATACCAAGAATTGTAGGGCTCTCTCTTTCCAAACCGGATCATTCTGTGACAGAAAAAAAACCCAGCACATCAAGGGCTGACTACTACAATACTTGATATACATTTCTGCAATATTAAGATGTTTTAATTTTTCCCCCCCAATAATATAGCAACTTTTCAGAAAATGTGTGCTAATTTACAGAAGTCATATATAGTCTTAAACCCTTCTTATGCAATATATGGCAGCAAAATGGGAATATTTCCATTTGGCACAACAATTAGTTTAAATTTAAAAGACAGACATTAATGCCTAAATTTATATGTAAAAAAAACCTCCCTTTTAGTAGTTACCTTTTCAATCTTATACTGGCCACAAAGAAGCAAGGGTGTTGTTAACTGTTAAATATTATAAATTTTAAATAAAATGTTAAATAACTGTTTAAAAGTTAACACCAATTTTTTTTTTAAAAGTGAAACGCTAAACAGTACTTCATCTGAGGGCAAAGCACCGAAATGCACAGATGCCTTAAAAACTGGTCAAACTGTTCTTATAAGCAAGCACAGTGAGGCTGAATTTAAGGCTTATACAAGCCAGAAGGCTACACTAGGATTCCTGGGTTATGCTCACAGGATGCCATCTGACCTCATGGGCATTTAATAAAACACCCGTTTCATCTATTAGGCACACGTAAGTAGCATCTGACCATCTACGACTGAAAACCTTTTATGTCTTGGTCTTCAGTTTAGACATTTAATTTCATTGGTATGGATAATAATGATTAAGTTACAATGATAAGGAACCAAACACAGCAAGGTAATTAGTTAGCCTGAGATCACACATCATGTCAAGCTTCATAAATAACGCTCTGGGAAAGGGATGTGTAAAAGTGTTGATTCCTGGTTTGCTACGTTCCCTTGCAGGAGTGACACTGCAGACTTTCAACCTTGCTGCAACCCCTGGCAACTGCCACCCCAAATCTTGTGGTGATTTAACTCCTTCAGTGACAGCCTTCTTGCCAGGTCTTGCTTAACCCCATCCTCTCTTGGTACCACCTAGCTACAAAATTCCAAAGAGAGGCAAATAACGTCTCCAGGAAATAATGACTGCTCACCCCAGCACTGTGCTCTTTCTGTGGAACACCAACCCATAGCAACATCCTTAGAGGCAGCGTCAGACCCAGAATTGTTTCATGGGCCATATTTCCTGTTATGCAGATGCCTGCAGGCCACATGCTCTGGCTGTGGTGGACTCTGTCTGGCTCTTGCAAGGGCTCTAGCAACTACAGCAAAAAGGCTCACCACCACAGCCAGAGCTGCTGCTGCAAAATGGAGAGGTATCCACACTGCCCCTGCTGCAACTCACCCGTAATGCCAAGTGCTGCTAATGTCTGTGGTCACTGGCAATGGAGAATGTTAAAATTTGGTAGTGCCTGCAGTAGGTGCCATGTCAGCAGCTACCCATGCAGCAACATGAGGCTAGCAAGGGAATGCAATTCCTACAAGCGGTTGAGATTCCTGTTCCCCTTCCTGCTTTCTGTTTCAAAGAGAAGAAAGCTGGCTGGATGACCCATCTCCATGGGCCATATGCTTGATATCATTACCTTAGAGGCCCTTAAAAAAATTAACCAACTACATGTGTACTAGGTCTCTTAACTGTTCATGTTTGGCTGGTCCAAGGTCTCCTGGCTTTAAAAGGGTATGCTACACTGACTACAGGATAGTCAGTACATCTTTGTGCATCAAAATGACATCAAGAGAATTAAAAAAAGGCAAAAGAAACTGTTGGTTGCAAGTGCTTTTCAGAGCATTCAGGGTTCAGCGTTGAGAAAGAACTTGCTTTTTGAACTTTCTTCTATTCCAAGACCAAAAGGATTCAGTACAGAAGGCCTTTAAAATGACTCCCCTTTGGCCTGGGCTCCAAGAACAAATTCACCTGCACAAGATTGATCTGGAGAGGTCTCTGGATCACCCTTAACTTGAGATAGAGATGCCAAAATGAGTAACATCTGCAATTACATTCCCCTTCTACAAAACATTTTTTTCTCTTCTTGAAAGACATTAGCTATTGTCTACTGTTACTGCACATTAGCTGGTTTCTTACAAATAAAATAATAAAATGATAATAAAATAAAATGATAATAAAATAATTGTGATTATATATAAAGTGATAATAAAATGAGAACTGGATCCAAAACTATATATAGACATTTAGCAAATAAGCAAGCACTTTTAGTTCTACAGCATTAACACACTTGCAGGATTATCAAAACATACCTCAGGCTTGTAACTGTTTTCCCACCTTAAATAAAAAGAACATTTACAATTACTAAGCAGCAGGGTAGAGGCTGAAGTTTAATTTATAGCATCTAGCACAAAGGTTAAGTCACAAGTTGACCTGACTTGCTTCCATAAGGTATGCTGCATCAGAAGTACCAAAGAGCTCCAGGATTTAGGGCCAAGACGAGGAACAAGGGAATCCAGAAACATTTTCCCTTACTGAGACAGATTATATTGGCTGACCTTTACAGGTCAGCCAAAGGAAAAGTCCAAAAATGAAGGCATTTTTTCTCTTATTGGAGCAATACTACAATATTCTTCAGCTAACATGGAATGAGGTTGAATGAGGGTCACATTGAGATTTGAACTGCAATTTCTCTATACCCAAGTGCATCATCCTACTATTAAGAAGTATTTAACTAGCACGATATTTCAGGAAGACATATAGGCACAAAAAGAAACAACAAATTATATTTGAATCTGTATGGTGAGGGAGGGCAAAGAGAAATTTATACAAGAAAAAAAACCAGTGCAGACAACTATGAAAATGTAGAATTTCCCTTTACCAACAAATAGTAGATTTCAAGATAAAAAATAAGAATTAAAGCAGATCTACTACTTGTATATCACTACACCTTTTATAATCATTAAATGGATTGCTGATGTAATTTATTCCCTACCTTGCTTTCTTCTTTGATGATGCTAAAGAAGTTTAGAGAAAACAGCAATTAGCAAAATATGACCAGTGTTTTTTGTTTTTTACAGTGATGTCAAAACTGCACATGCACTGTTTCTCTTTAGCCTACAGTATTAGAACATGGAGGATGGAATAGCTAGAGACCTCTAAGTTCCGTTACAATTCAAAACCCAAATCACTGAGACATGAAAAAGCAGGACAGTCGTGGGATCCACACTAACTACAGTACCTACAAGAACAGAGACTGCAAGATAAGCATTCTCTCGAGTGTGCCTTGGTATGGATCCCAATGGCAAGTGGCATTCTTCTCCTTTCCTGCCCATCTCCCCTCCCCCTCATGACAGGAGACGATTACCATCACTGAGTAATACAGCTGAAAGTGGTGCTCTCTGAATGTAACATCTTATCCTTTGGTTCTCTCAAGTGCATAATACACAGTGGGCTATTACTTAAGTGCCTTGCAGGTATCAAAGACAACGTTCCTAAAGGGGGATTTTGCTCAATTTGTAGGGCTGTGCCTTAACTCTAGTAGGG